CCCATCCCCATTGATAAACTTTGACACAATTTAAGTGTTGTTGTGTCTAAATTTCGGACGGAGGATCCTGGACTGCTTAAGCCGATCTACAGACACGGTCTGACATTAGCAGTAAGAATAACAAGTTTACGTTTTCAGATCGAGCGTTCCGGTGAGAAGGAGAAGAGAACAAACAGATAGAAAACAAATGAAAAAAATTATTCCATTATCGTAGATCTATGAAAAAACAGAAACTTGGAAAAAGCCTCATTAGCAATTTGACGACATTGTTTCGACTTTTCACCTCTTCCTCTTTCGAGAAAAGCCGATAGTTTACTATTTAACTGATAGTAATCATCCTTTCCATGCTGCATCCTTTCCATGGATGACTTATCCAAAAAGTTTTTGCGATGGGTACATGCTAAAACACACACGTATATATATGTGTGGATTTATTTGATTAACTCAACTATTTTTTGTTTTCGCGTGTTATGACGGAAAAGTTTCTTATTTTGCATCCACAACCGAAAAATTGAGCTACATTCGTTATGACAAATTGTTTGCAGCATCAGGAAGGGAGCTTTAGAGGCGCTATTAAATACTTACACTATGAACCGCCTGCAACATGTCTGTGTAATGTCTGCGCTATGCAGTCTATCGGTAGCAGAATATCCGCTTTTACATTGAGGTTAAAATGAAGAGTGGGCCAAGTAGGCCGATATAAATGTGTTATAGTAAAGAGGGTTCGACCACAGCCAGATATAATTTTTTTACTTGCTTTTTTTTTTATATTTGATTTGAAAGTTTTTCAAAAATCACTATTGTTGCTTTCTTAATTTGTTTCGAATTTTAGTGCTTCGTAACTGTAGCTGCTTTGGCCTGTCTTTCCTTGGCCTTAGCTGAACCACCTCAGAATCAGTATCTGCCACCGAATCAAGGATTTTCATCGCCCTCTAGCAACTATTTGCCTCCTCAACGGGGTGGTTCAGGTGGCGGTGGTGGAGGTCGGGGTGGACCTCAGAGTAGTTATGGTGCTCCCGCTTTAACATCAGCAATATTCCCCAAACCAGGCGGTGGAGGAGGCGGTCCTGGTGGTTATTCTGGCGGCGGGGGACCAGGTGGTTACAGTGGTGGTGGCGGTCCTGGCGGTGGTGCTGGAGGATATAGCGGCGGCGGCGGGGGCGGTCCAGGCGGTTATAGTGGTGGTGGTGGAGGCGGCCCAGGCGGCTACAGTGGTGGCGGTGGAGGTGGTCCAGGCGGCTATAGTGGCGGCGGAGGTGG